GCAATAGTCGAAGTAATCGAGATAAATGAGCTCTGAAAACAGTGTCTCATTTGAGAAGGAGGACGTACTTTATGATTAACTCCAGATGACCACAGTCTCAGGAGGCTGACCAAACCCTGTTCCTGGAAATCAGAAAATGATAACTTTGCAATAGCTTCTTTGGCCAGTTCAGTCCTTGAACAGTTCAAAAGAGGGAAAAATTGGCCTAAAATGTCCTATATAAGCAGAGAAGCAGAGATAAAATTCATTTTCCTGGCCAGATTCAGTTTGGATCCAAGGCCAGCAGACCAAATTGCTACATACAGTTTCCTCTCTCAGTGGTTAGTCGTGCCATGGGAGAGATGGTTCCAGAAGGATAAACAAAGGTAATGCTTTAAGCAAACGGACCGTACCTGCTTGTGAGCATAATGATGGTCTGCAGCCAACACGACCATAGCCCACTTCCTCTGTGGCTGGTCTTAATTGAAACTGACGGAGCTGTGGAGCTAGCTGGGTTTTGCATAAATCATCATTGGTAATACACTTTCAAGGGTAATCACAACATTAATATACCAAGCAGGAAGTGAAATAATTAAAATTTAGCACAGTGCGGTATTGAAGTTTCCAAAATTAATCTGAAGCACCTTTCCTCAGTACAAATGAGCAATTGCTTCAGTCCATAGAAAGGGACATTCAAAGAAGTACTACATAGGCCATCAGCAACAAAAGAAATTCTACTCTTCTTCCTACATTGTAAATTGTCTGCTTATATTTTAATGCTTTTTCCTTTCTTCTCTAGTGGTGCAAGTTTTTTTTTTTTTAATTTGTTTTACCTGCCTTTAAGCTAAATACATGTCATAAAGCCATGTAGAGTTAAAATCTTGCAAATCTGGGAGCATTAAGAGAGAAAAATTGTTCCCTTATGACCCTTAGGAAGACAATTCCAGCCCAGAGAGTGAATGAGCATATGTACCTAGGGTAATAAGCATCTCATTTCAATATATCTGCATAGAAGGTAATAAAGTACCCAGGCTGGGTCCCCTAGTGAGCCACAGGGGTAAGACAGCGGCACTAAATGTTTCACTGCTTCTGATGGAGTGTCTTTAATGCTGGATCCTTTGAAAGATGATAAGCAAAAAGCTCCCTGTTGTCCTATGTAGTCTCACAGGCAGACAGCTTGACAACAGCAATATTTTGCAGAGAACCACACCCCAGTGTTCCAAGACTGGGAACACCTTGACCTAGAAGCACAAAAATATTAATTGGTCTTTGAGTAGGGGCTCCCTCCAATGGGCAAGACTCCTGGTACTCAGACAGCATCTGAGCTAAAAGTCAACACTCCCTGAACTGTACAGCAGGTAAAGCCTGTACTCTGTCAGGAGTAACTTACCTTTTAACTCACACTGGTGTTACTTCCTTTCTCCGCAATATCACACCTTCCATAAGGAGTTAGAGGTCTCTGAGTGCCTGGAGAAAAAAGTGGTAATGAGTTTGCATCACCCTTGTAAGAATTACTTGAACAGGCAGTTTCATCTAGGTGTCAGTGATGAGAGCAGACACAAAAAACAATGTTCAGCCATGGAATTTCAGACCCTGGGGAAGGTGAATTAGCAGCAAGATATGGGGTAGGGTCCCCATGCCTCTTACAATGCATTGTTCAAATCATAGTCCCCACGGTGCCTGTGTTTAGAGTCAATTCTTAGGACTTATCATTTGAAATGGACACTGCCATTTCCTACATTAAAAAGATCCTCTAGTGGGGTTGGTCACCCTCAAGTGATGGGATGTGGGAGAATCAATGTAGAGTAAGGAGAGTTGTCGGTTAATGTCAGGTTTCTTCACTGTTTACCTGAAACTATCACAGCATTGTTAATCAGATATACTCCAGTACAAAATGTCTTTGGTGTTAAAACATAAAATTTTATAAATTAAATAAGTTTTTAAAAAAAGGTTTCTGAGGGTCAACCAGCCAATGAGAATGCCCAGCAGACCATGACCAGAAAAATGACTTCCTTTGGAAAATAGTAAAAGCCTTCACCATATTATCTTGTGCCCTTTTGAAGGAAATTTTGCTCTTGTATGTTCTTCCTGTTAATACCAGAGAGCTCAGATGCAAACAAGTCCCACTGAAATTCTATTGGCAGAACCTAAGCACAAATGGGTACTCATGTCCTTGACCAAAACTTCAGGGTCTTCAAGTGTTTCTCATCTGGCAGATATCCAAAAGCTTGCGCTACTGTTAAATCTCCTGTCTCAACTTCCTTGATGCTCAACTTGCTTGATGTCGAAGTCATCAAAATTCAACTTGATCATGCACCAAGCAGCTTTCTCTCAATTTCAAGGGAGAGAAAAATTTAGTTGATACAGATGCCTTCAATTCACATCAAGTCAAGATATGTTGAATGAATGCCTCCTATGGGAGGAAAGGCAAAGGGGAAGCAGAGGAACAAGGAGGAGGAGGAGAAGCAGCAGAAGCACCAGCTGAAGAAGGAGGAGAGAGAGGAAGGGCAGGAGCAGATGGAAGCAGGGCAGAAGCAGAGAGAGAGGGGTCAGGGGAGAAGGAGGTGAAGTCAAGTGGAAACTGCCCTCAGCTGCACTGAGCATCACTGCTGCGAACATCTTCCCCGTCATCCTCAGATGCTGGCCTCCAATCGTGTGGTGATGACCCCTAGTCACATTTACTCATACATAGGAGCTCGCATATTTCCATGACATTCACCATTTGGTTCCAATGTAGCCAACTGTCAGATCATTTGGAAGAAGAGTCTAGTTCCTTCCCCTCCAGGAAGTGCAAAGTGTCCTATAATATGTATAAACGGCTGTGATGGTACAGCAAGAGACATTTGCTTCCAGATTTTATTTTGCTTTTGATCAAGTTGAATTTCGATAACTTTGTCATCAAGCATAATTAACAAAAATAATGTAATTATGGAGTACATAGCACAGGTGAAACTTAATTATTTGGACTCCCAGGAAATGAGCTCTTACCAGCAAAGTAGCAACTTGAAGGAGGACCAGGAAACCGAGTGTCATCCTCTCTGATTTAGCAGTGATGCCATCTGTACTGGGCTGAGTCCAAGCAAGCAAGCAGCCAGCCAGGAGGCTAAATGCAGGAGCAGTGGGTCACAACCCCAGGGAACATCTGTTCCCTTGAGTAGCCAAGGCAATTCCATAAATGGTGAGAGCCAGTGGGCCTTCAGAGAAAACATAAAAAATGAAAAGTTTAACATTTTTCTCCTGCCAGCTATCCTACCCTACTTTGACTTTCTTTCACAAGAAAATACAAAGCAGAGCATATAATAAAATAGTTGATATAGACTGTGTCCCCCCAAATTCACGTGTTCAAACCTTACACCCAGTGTAATGATATTTGGAGGTGGGGCTTTGGGGTGTCGAAGAACAGAGCCTCCAGGAATGGGGTTAGTGCTCTTATACAAGAGACCCTAAAAAGCACCTTTACCTCTTCCTCCGGGTGAAAACTGTCATATGAGAACCAGGAAGCTGGTGCTCACCACACACTATACCTGCCAGCATCTTGAATTTGGACCTTCCTGCCCCTCTAACTGTGAGAAGTAATACCATAGTCGCACAGTCTGTGTTATTTTGTTACAGCAACCCAAACAGACTTAGACAGTGGTAAGTAGGGGAAAAGTTTTCTGGTAACCAGTGTGTAATTTGAGAACAGAACCAGCAGAATGCACAGCACTAAGTTGTGTTCAGTTTAATACGCGCGTTTGCCCATTAGTTCTGCACCAACTTGGGATTGGACTTGGGACACACTCCTACCAAGACCAGACCCAGAGATCACAGAGAGTTCTGAGTTTTCCCGCCCTTCAAACCAGGGGATTTTAGAAGCTGGTTCAGAGACCGAGTCCTCAGAGGATAGTCCCAAAGTTGGCAGCTGGACAGAGACGAGAAGTGGGAGATCCTGGCTTATGTCTGCCATCAGATAAAATTAACATTTGTTCACTATGGAAAGCAGTATGGAGGTCCCCTAAAAAACTAGAAACAGAGTTACCTGTATGATCTTGCAATCCCATTCCTGGGCATATAACCAAAGAAAACTCTAGTTTGAAAAGATACATGCACCCCAGTGTTTGCAGCAGCACTATTTACAATAGCCAGGGCATGGAAGCAACCTAAACTGTTCATTGACCCATTGACAGATGAATAACAAAGGCGCGGTATGTGTGTGTGTGTGTGTGTGTGTGTGTACATATACACACATAATACGCACATACATTACAGAATGGAATGTTACTCAGTCACAAAAAAGAATGAAATAATACCATTTACAGCAACAAATATGGACCTAGAGATTATCATGCTAAGTGAAATAAGCCAAACAGAGAAAGACAAATATCATATGATATCACTTACATGCGGAGTCTAAAAAATGGTATAAGTGAACTTGTTTACAAAACAGATATAGACTCACAGACATAGAAAACAAACTTAGAGTTACCAAAGGGGAATGGAAGAGGGATAAGTTAGGAGTTTGGGAGCAACATATACATGCCACTGTATATAATAAGATAATGAACAAGGCCAACTGTATAGCACAGAGAACTATATTCAATATCATGTAATAACCTACAGTGGAAAATAATTTGAAAAAGGAATATGTATATATATATATCTATATATGTATGTATAACTGAATCACTTTGTTGCATACCTGAAATAGAACATTTTAAATTACACCCCAATTTAAAAGTTTAAAAATAGTTTAAAAAATAACATTTGTGCCAAAATTCCAAGTAGTAGCTCACTTCAGTTTGTGCATTCAGCAGAAGTACAAGGGATAGGGAGAAAGAATAAGCAATGCCAGGTATCTTTGGAGCAGTCATTAAAGTCTCCTCATGTAGGATGCAAATGAGTTTTTCTTTGGATTTTGATCTTAATTTCACCTCAAAAGGAAAATGCCTTTTTATTTGGCTTGTTTGCAATTTTTTTAAACTTATTTTGTAAATATTTCGTAATATTTAAAACCGTATATAATGAGGACTGCATGCTCTTGCAGCAGAAAATAACTAATAATACTTGGCACTTAACGGCACTTTTCATCATTTAATCGCTTTGTAGACATTAATTAAGGAAAAGGTATTTCATCTTTTTAAAGTTGCTGTTAGGCTCCTGTCAGTGAATTTCATGAATGTCAGTTGCAACAGGAAGTGAAATATGTAGAATCCAAAATACAAATTTGCCAAAGTTTTTCTTGAAAGGTAAAAATAAGCCTTTGTATGTTTTCCATTATACTTTTCCCTTTGAATAAGTTTACAAACAACTTTTATTCATGGCTCTATATTAAAATTGGGTTTTCTTTGGTTATAACTACTGTGATATCATATTAAATACTTCATATTTTATGAAGTATTTTCAAGTATTCAAATTTAAAAGCTTCATAAATAAAGGCACCAGAACTACTCATATTCCAGGAGAAACATTTGTTCAGTTGGCAAAGGCAGAGTAGGTCCCTTCTTTTCCTTCCAGGAAAGCAGAAGTTGGTTTAGCAAGAGAGATGATCCTTTTAGTCATTCTCCCTCCCTCCCTCTACAGGGACAAACACGCTTATCTCCAGGGTGAAACTCATGGCTTGTTTCAATTATCCTTCCAGAACTCTTTCTCTCCATCTGTTTCCAATGTTTAGAATTTTTAAGATAATCCTTTTATCATATAATTTGATGCAATAAACATTGCCTCCTACTTCTCATACAAAATAGTTGCATACAGGTCAGGATCCTCAGCATTTCTCTTCATTTCCATCCTCACCTGCATTTACCTCTTTCACTTCTGTCTTGGAGACTAGCTCCTCAGTCAAGCTCATTTCTCCATCAACACTTAGCATTTCCCTTTGATTCTTCCAGCAGTCAACTCCTTCTTTATAGAGGTTTGTCATTAACATCTATCTTCCTTCTGATTCCTTGCAGGAATTCTTTACATGCAAACCATACCATGCCCTCTAGGTACTATCTTGTTCTCTCTTCCTGTTGGGCTTCCCACAAGAGTAGCCTTCCATATGAGCAGCCTACATCATCATCTCCATTTCCTCGCTCCCATTTATTCTTAAAATATACAACCTGCTTTCTGCTCTCACAACTCCATGTTGGCACCCCATGAGGCACACCAGCCACCACCTACCAGCCAACTCCAGGAGGTACTTTCCACCCATCATCTCCTGTCTGGGCTCCTTCAATGTCGTTCTCCCCTGGTTCACCACATACAAGCTCAGTGCTCCTTTTCGGTCTTTTTCAGGTTCCATTTTCCCTGAATGTTTGTGTTTCCAGGGATTCTGCCCTATGAATTCTAATCACTGTCTTCATCCTCTCTGAGGGACTCTATCGATCCTAGGCTACGCCTGCATTCACGTGCTTTGCCCCGTTCTGCTCTGTTTTCCCATTTTTTGTTTCCTCTGCCTGGGGTGTCATTCATTCTTGATGAGCCTAAAGAACGGCTTACCAAGACCCAGTTCAAACAGAATTCTCCAATGTGCATTCTTTCTTCTCTCCAACCCCCACCTCCCCCAACCCTGACAGAATTAGTTGTCTCTCTCCAGCACTCCCATGGCATCTTACATGTATTTGTGTATATGTGAATGGTGCGTGTTTATGTATGTCTGTGTGTGTGTATGTGTGTGTTGCTTAAGTTATGTGTGACTCTTTGTGACTATAGCCCACCAGGCTCCTCTGTCCATGGGATTCTCCAGACAAGAATACTGGAGTGGGTTGCCAAGCCCTCCTCCAGGGGACCTTCCTGATCCACGGATCAAACCAACACCTCTTATGTCTCTTGCATTGGCAGGCGGGTCGTTTACCACTAGCGCCGCCTGGGAAGACGTGTGTGTGTGTGTGTGTGTGTGTGTGTGTATGTGTGTGTGTGTGTGTGTGTGTGTGTGTGTATTACATATAATACCACAAGATTTGTCAAGGAAAGGGATTCCAGCTTAACTATCTTTGAATTCTCAGCACATAGAATAGTTGCAATAAGTCATATTAAGATGACTGTTTCATATTAGAGGACAGGAGAGAATAATAATGTGGATTTGGTTCAAGGTTACTTTTTCTTTGTTTTACACCCAAAGCAGCTAATGAATATGGCAAAGGTTATAAATCAGATAAGGACAGTGGGGCTGAATGTAGTTCCCATTGTTTCTCTTTGTATCTCACAGAGATGTGGCCAGTTTTTAACTTTACAACTCAGTTAAGTAACATACAGCTTAATAGCCAGAATCCTAGCAGCAGACTGCTTGTTGTGCCAAAACTGGGTCAAACTTTGTCTGTACTTGTACTTTAGGGCCTAGGAATTTTCATATATATCTTTTTATCAGTTTTTCATGGTCAGGTCTACATGATTTTAATAAATATTGAATTATTAGTTAGCAAATGAATAAATGACCACTTGGCTAAAGTAACATACTGACTTGTAATCCATTGCCCAGACACCCATTGAGGGAGAGGGTAACTCAGACACCCTGAGTATGATTGGTAAAAAGCTTGTCATCATGCATTACTTGAGATACGCAGTTATCTGTGACAACCCAGGGACCTGCCAAGTCCAAGAAGACTGATTGAGTTTGAGAAATGGCATTTGCTTTCTCTTTCTCTCATTGTAATTTTGATATTTCATTCTATTTTCAGACTGGTACTGTGAATGATGATTGATCATGATTCCATTAAGAAACTCCCTTGTAAAGGAATTGGGAATAGAGTGGATGAATGCATGTGTGTATGTATGCATGTAAGTTCATTCAGAGAAACTCAATATTCATTCTGTTTCAACTGAACTTGGTGACCTTATACTTCTATTTTTTATAGTATCACTTTCATACACAAAATACCAGCGCAGCTGCTGATAACTTCAGTAAGGATTTAATAACATGGCCAAATATCTCTAAAGATACAAAAGAAATACAGTTATCTAAATAATAAATGCTTATGAAGAGACTTCCATGTGCCAAGGACTATGAAAGCCTGGTCTATAGAGTCCAGGAACTTACAGATATGCCGTTAAGGCAAAATACATAACACGTGAAATAGGGAAGAGTGTATTTAATCTTGTGTTAAATTATATGATTCAGATGAAATGCTACATAATAAGAAGGTTGTGTGAGCACACCATGGACCAGCACATTACTGGAGGAGAAGCAGACAGTTCTGGGTTTAAGTTCTGCCTCTATGAGTTATCTTTAATCTTA